GTTTTAAAAAAATTGAGAGTGAATTTTGCTGTTGTTGCTTTTGTTATTTCTCAATTGGCAAACTAGTTTTCGTTTTATTACATTTTTCGACTTTTTTTTTTGCCTTTGTTGCTTTGCATATTTTTCTTCAAGTGTCATTCGTTGCGGCTTGTTGTTGTTGTTGCTTACTTTCAAATGTCAAACGAAGTTGAAGGTGGCCCAGTCTGCATATATAGACGCAGTTATTTTTATACTCATATGATTTATATTGAGTCATGTTTTCGATGCTGCCAAACGAATGACTTGGACAACGAACTTGACTCGGACAGCTTTTGAGCCGCACTTTGTCTACTCACTTTAACTTTGTGTGGGAATTAATTATGTTAAACCAGTTGGAGTATACTATATACAAATTTGAATAGATTTGTTCAAAAGCAAAATGTTAAATTGCCTTTAAATGGAAGGCTAAAATTGGCTAAATTGCGTGCAAAAGAATTAGTTTATATTTCAGAAAAAAAATAATAATTTCATTAAAATAATTAAATAATGTGGCTTTAGTAATATTGATTCATAACTATTTAAATTAATTTTTAAAAATAATCCAGCCTGTTAAAAAAGGTGGAAAATCAGATGCCTACAAAAAAAAAAATTATAAATTATTATTTTGTTAAAAATTGTTATCATAATAATAGTAATAATATATAATAATAATAATTTAATTCAAAACTTAAATATATTTAACAATTTTAAAAAATGTTGTAATACCTAATAATAATAATATTACCATATACATATATATTTTTTAAATATATATAAATTATATTTTTTTTTACTGAAAGAATTAGTTTATATTTCAGAAAAAAAATAATAATTTCATTAAAATAATTAAATAATGTGGCTTTAGTAATATTGATTCATAACTATTTAAATTAATTTTTAAAAATAATCCAGCCTGTTAAAAAAGGTGGAAAATCAGACGCCTACATTAAAAAAACAAATAATAAAAAATTTTTATTTTGTTAATAATTTATGTTATTTGTTAGCCAAAAACATGAATAATTTTGGAATAATAAATTATTATTTTTTCAAATTATTATTTGTTAGTCAAAAACATGAATAATTTTGCAATATAACTTTCACTGTATATCACAAGAAATACCTTTTAAAACCGGTCAAAAAATTGCAAAAAAAAAAAAAAAACTTTAACTAACAATTTTAAACACATTAAGTAAACAAAATTTCAATTCGTTTGATTTGATTAATCTTCCACAAAAGCAAGAAAATTACTTAGCTGCATATCTTAAGTGCAGCTAATACTTTTTTAATAGTTTAAACATAAATAAATAAATCTTCAATTATATTCGTCTAATATGTTGAGCGCACGCATGGCTCGTTGCGAACGCCGGCTCTACGATTCAATTTAATTAAAATGCAATGCACGATGAGCAAAACTCATTAACAAATGGCAAACAACGCCATAAACAATTTCGTGTCATAAACAAAATCGTGCCATACTCAAAATAGTTGCTGAAAAAATCCAAAGCAAACAACAGCAACAACAAAAATGCTGAAGTGAAACTTAATGAAGCCTGAGAAAGTTGCAACAAGTGTGTGTGTGCTTGCCTGAGCCCAGCTGAGCGCAGCTCAAGTGACAATCAAATTTTTGACTTACAACATTAAAGAAAGATCAGCGCAAAGAAAAAATTTGAGAGGGGGCAAAATCGCAGCCAAGTAGCAAATAAATTGCAGCCAGCAACAAAAATGCGATAATTGCTAACAAATTTGTCGGACACAGCAGCGCATAGCAAGCATGCAACACAAATGCAACAAGAATAACATGTCTACGAAGGTGACGGTGACGGCGATGGCGACTGCGACGGCCTTAATGCATGTCCGTCTGAGACTCGTCGCGTTGATTGTTCATTTGCAGACATAAGCGCACAGCATCCACTTGTTCTTTGGCTGCATCTCTGCTGCTCTGCAGCTCTGTGCGCTGACCCAGTTTGCGGCAAGTGGAACACACAGCGCCAGCCACGGCTCAGCATGTCGAGGTGGCCATAAATAGCCGGGCGATGGTTTTCTAGAGACCACAGAGACGGCTCTTCCACTCAAGTTACTGGTTTTCCGCTCAAGTCTTTCTCAATGGGCGACTCAAGTTTGTTGCCTAAGTCTTTCGTTCTGAAAGAGAAACGACTTCAAGAGCAACAGCTCGTCTCTCGCAGCAAAACGAGTTCTGTTCGTTGTTGTTGTTGCTTTGCTTTTTGGGATGCTGCAGAACTTTCTTCCATTGATTCTAGCGGAACGCATATAAATAACAAATTAAGACTTTCTTTCTGCAAAAGCCAGAGCCCCCCACTTCTAGACTCTATGGAAGCTGTCCGTTCGTGGTTTTGTCTCATCATCCATTGAATTGTTTGTTATTTATCTATCTAGAGGCGAGAGCTGGCTGGCCAGGTCTGGCCGTTCGCTTCGTTCCTAACCCAAATACTACGCTCTTTCACCTGGACTACCTGGCCGCTGTCTCTCTCTGTGTGTGTATGTGTGTGTCTGTCTGTGCACCTTGTGTCATTCGCTTGTGTTGTTCGCTTTGGTTTCGGCTGTAGCTTGAGCCCTTGTTGTTGGCTAAACAAGACAAGAGATTATCAGCAGCCGTCGCAGCTGCTCTTGGCCCAAACGATTTACATGCGTGTCGTGCAGGGCTTCCCCGCACTTGGCTTTTTGGGCGGGCATCTCATACACTCGTGTATATATCTCGTTTTTCTTCTCGTCTTTCGATTATGCGCCTTTATCTGCGGCTTCATTAGTTTGACCCAATTTTCGATTTGTGCCGCGTTCTTTTTACTTTCTATTTTCTCTTAACGATCACTAGAATAATTTTTATTTTTTGATAGACGTCTTGTTAGCATTTTGATTATAGTTTAATTTCAGAAGAAGGCGTTTGCTGTTATTTTACTTTCATTGGGTAGAAAATAAAAACCTTAAGTTCTTTTTTTATTGTTTCCGTATGGGAATTTAGTTTGACTTTCTTTGATTTGCTGGGGCGTTGGCTTTGGCGCTTCCGTTTTAATTTTAGTTTTTTCGTTTCTCTCCCTAAGTCTAGAGCTGCGAATGTTTGGCGTATGAAACTAGTTTATGGAAATAACGAGAAGAAAAGCGTCTAAGTAGACTAAGCAGGGATTTAAATGTGATTGGCTGCATAACAAAATAAATCTGACTAATGGCAATTGAAGCATGGCGAAAGTTTGAGTTTGTGATCTAATTTAGGGTTTTACATGCATATATACTGAGTATATATAATTTTATTGAATTTAATTCCATATGGAAGATGAATCTATGTATAAGTTAGATTAAGTCTTGTACATATATAAAGTTCCCTAACTTAAAGCAACTGCACATGAACTCATTCTCGGATGGATAATACCAACAGAAAATTGGTTATGACTTTTAACACTTTTTTCCAGAATATAAAATTATTATAGTAGACATAACTACTACAAATAATCATAGCTTTATCAATTACACCTAAAATTATTTCTGATATAAAATATTAATTTGTTCTTTTTAATTTTGCAGGTGAGCTTCAAAACTGGTTTAATTTTAAATACTATTTTATGTAAGTATATCGTGCAATATTTATACCATGAAAATTTAATGCAATATTCATAAAAAATTAATAAGAAATATTTCTATATAATATGAATATTAGATTTATAATAATATTTTATGTAAGTATATCATGCAATATTTATACCATGAAAATTTAGTGCAAACACAGTCTTAGCTTGACTACAAAGCTAATCAGTATTTAAGCTTTATTTAAATTAATAAAATTCCAATCTTAATTTATTTCACCATTTAAATTTATAATTTAGATAAATAAAATAAATTTAATGTGAGATATTTTTATTTATTTAAATAGTTGGCTTATTTTTTTTAGCAATGTAATTAATTAATTAATTAATAATTTATTATTTTTGTGTTAACATAATTTCATTTAATGTAAACTTATTTGAATATGTAAAAATATTTGAATACGTTTCATATTGTCTATGAAGTTTTTCTTAAATGACTAAGACAAATCAAGCAATTAGTTCTAGACAAATATTTAGTTAATGAAATAAATTTAATTTATTTCCGCAATTCCGAAATATAATTATATGCTCAGAATGTGTATAATCTTTTTTGATTATGATATATAATAATTTAAACTTATTTAATATACATAATAACATATTATATAATATATATTATAATCCCAATTTCCCTTACTTAAGTATTAACTCTAAGCCAAAACCCTATTGCCGTACGTTTAAAATTCCTTCTCATCTTTATATAATCTCTTATCATCATCATCTTCTGCACTCCTTATATAATTCTATGCTAAAACGAAACCATTTTGCTTTTGCGCTTAGCTCCGCTATTGATTGTAGCTAGAATTATTGAAATTTCATATGTGCAAAACTTTTTTATTAGCTGCTTTGTTTCTAGCTGCAAGAACTTTGTCATATTTGGGTCAATGTAATCGAAATGATTTACGATCATTATGAAGTTTCTTTAGTGGGTCAGGCGAATTTCAAACGAATTCTCTATAAACTTATAAATCTTGCGAAACAAGCATAAAACTGATGAGCAAAAATAGTTTTTAAATAGAAAGTAGAAAAATAAGAAAAAATACCATTAACATAAACTTTTGATATGAACCGAAACCGAACCGAACCACTTGGAGCTGTCAACAATGGCTTTTTGTTGAGATCGTAAACAGCTTAATTGACAAATGGGCTTAAGATTTTATGGCATTGCCAATTGGGTCAGGCAGGGTCCGAGGGCTTTTGAGTGGATCCAAAAACTAATGTGCAAATTATGCTAAAATATAGATGATAAAAAAAAGTATTGATTGGCGTTTTAATGGCAGTATCATTAAGAACAGATATACCAAATGTATATATGTGTATGTGCTGCCTGGCCATGGCCTATAAGAACCGTTAAGTTGGCTACATTTGCAAACAGTTGACTCTGGGCTTGTGGTTCGTGCGGTGCTCAAGATGAAATCCGAGTCGAACATCTTTCTCTATCTGCTCAGCCTCTGCTGCTGCTGCTGCCTCTATGGTTTAGCTTCTGGCTATGCCTATGAGCCACCGTTTCGTGGTTACTTCTATAACAAGCCAGCTCGGCAGCCGGCTCTGCTAGGGAATAGCTCTGCACCGCCGCCCGGCGCGCAAGCGGATTACATCGATGATCTAATCGAGCAGCAGAAGCAACAAATCTTGTCAAGTGTGCTGGGCTCCAGTTCGGCCGCAGCCGCTGCCCCGCCCAGTGGCCAGCCTTTCGACAGCGACAGCGATGCCAAGGCCATTCGCGTCAACCGTTGCGCCAATTGCAGTGAGTATCCGAGCGAGAATCGAGTCGGTCTGTGCCTGCCTCTATCCCTGTGCCTCGATTGCTTGCAGCCTGCGGCGTGCCCAATGCCGATCGCATTGTGGGCGGCACTCAGGTGCGCACCAACAAGTACCCGTGGATAGCTCAGATGTTGCGCGGTGCGGAGCTCTTCTGCGGCGGCACTTTGATCAACGATCGCTATGTGCTGACCGCTGCGCATTGTGTGCATGAGATGGACATGTCGGGCGTCTCGGTGCGGCTGCTCCAGCTGGATCGCAGCTCCACGCACCTGGGCATAACGCGCGCCGTGGCGTTTGCGCATGCCCATCTGGGCTATGATCCGGTTAGCCTGGTGCATGACATTGCGCTGCTGCGCCTGGACGCGCCCGTGCCGCTGATGAAGCGGATGCGACCCGTCTGCCTGCCCACCAATCGATTCCAGTCGTTTGACTACCAAAAGGCCATTGTCGCCGGCTGGGGGCTGAGCGACGAGGGCGGCGTCACCTCGAGCGTGCTGCAGGAGACCACGGTGCCCATCATCACGAACGCCCAGTGCCGGGCCACCTCCTACAAGACCATGATCGTGGACACGATGCTATGCGCCGGCTACGTGCAGACAGGTGGCCGGGATGCCTGCCAGGTGGGCTGCCTACAGAGCTTAGCTTCCCATTTGACTTGAATTTGATTTTATCTTGGCTCCATTTCGTTTGTAGGGCGACAGCGGCGGTCCACTCATAGTGCCGGATCGCATCTTCCGTTTAGCTGGCGTCGTCTCCTTCGGCTACGGCTGTGCCAAGCCAAACGCTCCTGGGGTCTATACAAGAGTCAGCAGATACCTGGACTGGATCGCTGCCAATACCAGAGATTCCTGTTATTGTAATAAATAAATGAATCGTTTATATATGTAATTTCTCTGTAAGTTAAATTAATAAAATTATTCTTATTGGGATTTTAGATATTAGAAAAATGAGTTTAAAAGTTTATTTGGCTTAAGTTAAAATAATAAAATTATGGCAACTTTTTTTTTTTTTAGAGTAAAAACTTTAGAAAATTTAATAAAAATTTACTTGCAATTATTTCATGCTCTGGCATGCATAGAAATTACTCATAAACTAAATCTTTAAAGTCTCTTCCAGTCTCAGCTAACTCTTTTATTTATTATAATTCATTCGAAAGCGCTTTAAAGTAATTTAAACTTTTCCCTACATACATATATACAGTTATGGAAATTATTCACGTTCATCCTTAACCTTAACCCTGGGCACTTGTTCGCGCTGCTGCAAAAGTTTGCCAATGCAAATTTTCTTTTTGGCCAACAGCACCCCCAACTGGGTTAGCAGCAAATACTTTCATAAAGTAATTTCTGTGCAAATATTTTTTTTTATTATTTACCTTCTTTTTTGTTAGTGGTGGAAACAGGTTATCGTTGGTTATTTCGGCAAGTCAATGAGGTATACCTGCGCTGGCCTTTCACTTTTTCGTACATACGCTGAAAAATCAATGGGGCTGCGAGACTTGGCGAAAAAATATGCAGTTAGGCCGTGACGGACCATTTTTGGCATTGTCATCGCTGGGCAGCAGAATGGAAGCCAAGGACAGCGTGGAATCGCTGACACATTGTTATCAGTTGTTGGCGCAGGTTTTCGCTCGATCGGGGCCAGTTGACAAAAGTTTATCTCTATCCCAATGGCGAGCAGGCACAGTCCAGGCCCAGCCGTGCCATGGCTGTGTCGCGCTGCAGCGATTTAATGGATTTTCAAGTTATTTCTGGTATTTTGTTGTAGTTCGCCGCAACTGCAGCAGCAGCAACAGCAGCAATTGTAGCAACTGCAGCAACTGCAACTGCAACTGCAGCGCAAACAAAGATATCTCGCAAACTCGTTTCTTGCCTGCGGCCAAAGAAAATGCCGCATAATTGTCGACTACAGTCGCTACAGTCGCATGAGGAGGAAGGAAGAGGTAGAGAGGGAGCGTGGAGATAGGAGACTTCGTGGGGATTGTTGACCAAATCGACAATGTTGTCAATGCAGCCGCTTTGGCATTTGATTTTATTTTTAACTAGACTGCAAATGAGCCAAGGCATTGCAAGTACGAGTCGCACAGACTGGGGCGGGGTGGGGCGGTGCTGGTTGGGGGCATTGCAATAGGCGCACTACAGATTTAGCACTGCAATTAACATTTTTATCGGGAACTCTGCTGAGCCGCGAACGAATAAGTATTATCAAAGCATTATCTTAGTTTTCGTATTTCGATATGTGTGCTAAATATATTTTTTTACAATTTTTCTTTTACTATATCTATTATTTTGGACTCAAATTGAAGTTTTTACCTGGACTATTAAGGCTCCAGAACAATTTTTATAAATATTTAAATTTTTCGTTTTCAAAGTTTAGTTTAAAATCTTAGTTTTCGTATTTCGATATGTGCGCTTATTATATTTTTAACAATTTTTGTTGCACTGTATTAGGCAGAAAATCCCTTTTCATAGGACGATTTTTATAAATATTTTAAATTTTTTAAATATATATATAATATATGCAAATGGATATATTTTCTGAATATTGCTTGTCTCAGTATTTGGCTATATTATTTTGCAATAATTGAGTATTATATTTGGGATTTTAAGTAAGGAATGCAAACATTCCCTTTCGGAGAACAGAATAGGAATACACACATATTCTTATGTTTTTGCATGAATAAAATTGTATTTACTGTATTATAATATTATTATATAATATATAATAATAATAATAATATATATAATATAAATATTTTTAATAAAGAAAAAAGTATATACCTATTAATTTATTTATAAAAATATGTATTATTTTTAAGGAATGCATTATTCATACTATATGCTACCAAATTCATGTAATCTTCCTAGCTATTTTCCTTACATGCCTAGCCTATGTTAATGATTCAGCTTAACATATGTATATATATTCGAAATTTTTCTATAAAATCTTAAATATGTCTATCGTCGCAGAGGTATTTCTTTTACAATATGCTAGTCTCACTCGAGAGCTGTCCAAGGTCAAACTGGAGTAATTCTCACGCTTCAGCTCACGTTTATAAATGATTGAAAGGGAAACCCAATTATAAGCAACTTAAGATATATAAGAAGTAACATTATTTATACATATGTATATACACAGATAATCACACGAGTGCATTTCCTTAAAAGACCTTCTGGGAAAAAAGGAAGCAAGGAGAGGCACGTCCTATAATATCAACTTTGAACTTATTACCCCAAGACGCTCAGGCGCAGCCCCTTCTGTGCAGCGTCCAATTGAATCGCTCAATGGCTTTGACTACAGATTGCAGTTCTCGCTGGATATTCGCACTCTGCACGATCAGCTCCACACAGTGCTCCCAGTTGCCGCTCGCCAGCCGCAAGGTGTACGGCACCAGGGCGCCAAAGATGCGATTGATGGGACGCAGAAAGCCGAGTTTTTGGTTCAGCTCGTGTCGCAGCAGCTTGAAGGAGCTGCACCAACCGATGCATTGTTCGAGCAGGCGACAGAGTGCGCGGCAGGGCGTGGAGAAGCTGCTGCTGAAGCTGGAACTGGCGCTGGAGCTAGGGAGCCGCGTGATGGTGGTCAAGTGGGGTCGTCCCTGCTGCATTCGCGTCTTGGCCAGCATGAGCCGTGCTCTGGCCGTCTGCGTCTCCAGCTGGAGCTGCAGGCCTATCCGAGCCTCGATTAAGTGCAGCAAGTTCAGGTGCAGGATATCCATAAGGCAGCCCGTCTCCTCGTCAATCGTTTGGGGCGTCGTCGTTCTCGTTCTCGTCCTTCTCGCCGTCGTCTCATTATTCTCTGTTCTCTGCTTTGTTTGTTGTTTGCTTTGCTTCTTCTTTTTGCCCATGTTAATTCGTTAATTCGCTTCGATTTATCGCTCCCAATCGTCGTAGCTCTGTTCACTGTACTGCAATTCTCTGGCAGTAAGCTGTTCTCTACACTTATCCCAGTCCCTTGCTTTAATCGGGTTTAATTTCCTTGAAAATTGAATACATTTATTAAAATTTTGAGTAAAATCTCGAAGCTTGTAAATATATGTAAATTTGTTAAAGAGTTTAATTTTTGTTAATAATATTTTTGAATAATACTCAAGTTAATAATCTAATAATAATATAATTATTTAAGACATTCTTTACAAATAAAGAAGTTGCTCTGAAAGCTATGTGATAACTGTAATAAATTAAATGATTTTAGCTCATATAATAATTTGTTTGGAAAACATCGAATTTTTAATATAAAATAGGCTAAAATTATAAAATCATATTAAATTAAATAAAATGTCTCATTAAGATCTTTTAAATTACAAATAAGTATATTACCGGAGACATTGTTTTTAAAGACTTTTTTTTAAATAATTAGGGATTTATTTCAACAGGAAAGTTTAAAAATGTTATCTAATAAGTTTTAATGTAATAATTATTGATTTATAGTCTGGCTTAACTTCTGTTGACCAAAAACATTTAAATGGCTAAAGAACATTTCTAAAAGAAAAGGTATTTGAAATATATATGGTAAACAAGAATTGGACCAGATTCTTTAATGATATTGGCAGCTTAAATTGAAATCTAAAATTGGAATAAACGAATTAAAATGTGTAATTAAATTTGAATTCAATTTAAAACAGAAAAAGAGAGTAGGTGTTAGACTTTAATTTCATTTGGTTGAAAGGAGTGTAGAAATTCTTGATTTGTTCCAAAAAAAAAAAAACATTTTTATGACTACTTTGCATTGCTGATGTCATATTAGCTAAAGTTTTTTTTGCAGCCAGGCAATAGACTTTGTTATTTTATGACTAAAGCTTGAAAGAGCTTAATGAATTATTAAAATATTAAACAGTGTTAAAAATGACTATTCTTCATAAAAAAAATAAATAAAATAAATAAAGTAAGAAAGCTTTAGCCTAAACTAGCCATCTAAGAGAAAACTTTCAAAGAGCCAATTTAATTTAGTTCATCTGTTCAGCTTTATAAACGAAGAAATTTTTGAAATTCTAATTCTATTAACATACGCAGCATGTATTTATTCTAATATACTTCTTGATTAATTCTATTTCCTTAATATCAACAGCAATCGATAATTTGATTCAGTTCATTGTTTAAATGTGTTTAGTCTTTCAGCTATTGGTTTATCATGCCTATATAAATCTTTGACTCTGCTATATATATACCACGCACATCTATAGTTCACCTGAAATGCTAAAAATGCTAGAACTGGTTCTTCTTTTGTTCGTGAAGATTTGTTGCTTGTGCAGTTTTTTATTAGATTTTTGTCGAGTTTTGGATTATTTCTTTTTTTGGTAGGCGTCTTTGGGCCACGCTTCGCTTGGCATTTTAGCATATTTCTCACATAAATCGCCGGCGAGTTGGGTAGAGAAATTTTCACGCCTTGCTGACCATTGGCCAAGACGCTGAGACGCTAAGGCGAAGGCCTGCTCTTTAATCAAAATTGTGAACAAAACTTGTGCCAAAAAGTGCTTAATGCAACGTCCCCTTTCCCACTCTCTCTCTCTCTTTCTGTGTTGCTCTCTCTCTCAATGTCTATTGCTGCTGGCAAAACCGCAAACATTTTAATAAATTGCCAGTTATTAGTTGACGGCAGCAGGAAAAAGTGCAATTAAAATGCATTCGCGAATAAGGCGAACGGGGAACGGAAGTTTGAGGCAAAACAAATTAGCATTAACATTGGCTTGGTGCAAAAGAGACAAAGCGTTGCGGACCAAAAGGAGAGCAAAAACTTAGCGAGTTAGTTTCCCATAATTTGCGTAAAGCTGCGCACATAATGAGCAGCAAGGAAGGGGGAGAGAGAGCGGGAGCAGGTAAAAAGGGGAAGTGGCAGAGGAGCATTGAGTGGAGAGAAGGAAGTGGCAGGTGTGGAGAGTTTGCTATGCGCTGGTCAATTGCATAGCGCAAATGGTGTGAAATTTTTGCACAGTGTCGGCAAAGCAGTGGTAAAAGCAGTGCAGTAGCTGTTGCTTTCAAGTGAGCTGGAGAGAGGGAGAGAGAGCGAGAGGGGCAGATAGTGCTGCTGCTGCTGCTGTTGCATTGTTTTCAACCGCACTTAGTTTTTGTTATTATTATTGCTGCTGTTGAAATTTGCATAAATTGTTTTAATTAAGGCATTTAAAGCATATTTTGCTAAGTGGCTTTTTAGCTGGGCAAGCATTCAACTTGCTAATGAAATTAAAAAGGAAGTGAAATGCACAAAAACACACACTTATATTATTAATAAATATGCACATATGTATGTATGTGTGTGTGTGTGTGTAAGCAAAGCAGTTTATATCGTATTTAAATGCATAGAGAGAATTTCGAATTGAAACTTTGATTTAAATTGGTTTTCTTATTAACTTTAAAAAGCTTTCTTATTAGCTGTACTCCGTTTGCTTTAAGCTTTGTGTATTTTAATGGACATTTGATAACCGTATTGGAAATAATTAATGTAGAGTATCAAAATATCTATATATACATATAGTCAAATATATAAGATATACCATAAAGTTATATCGTACTTAGCCATGGACTTAAAACTATGGTTATTTTCTAGTCAATGCTCTTTCACGTTAAGAATTAATATAAGAATATATATTTGTTTCATCGTTTTTAAGGCTAATGAAGTGAATTTAAAACAAAATGCTATTCAGCTAAAAAAGGAAAGGCCCTTAGTAATTGGCTTTTGTTGTTAGATAGATAGCAAATATTACTATTTTATCTTGTGTATATAATCCGTCATATAATGGATAATCTATATAGGTGCATACATATGTACATATATCACTATTGTTTTATATATCATTTTATATATAATCTTGCATACAATAGATAATCTATATAAATGTATACCATAATGATTTAATATATCATTTATGTAGATATATCTAAGCATTTTAATATATTATCATCTCTTTATAATCTTTCTTTGAACAGATAATAATTATCTTATTTATGATGTAGATATTCCTAGCAATATTAATATTTTATCATATGTTTATAATCTTTCATAGAAGAGATAATAATTATCCTATATATGATGTAGATATTCCTAGCAATATTAAAAATTATCTTAAATATCATATAGATATTCCTTGCATTATTAATATTTTATCGTATGTACATGATTATTCATATAAGAGATTATCTTTAAATGTATGTCATAATTTTCTTTTATATGATATAGATATTTCTTAGCATTATAAAATCATTATTGTATCATTTCACTTTTGCTGCCTTTTCGCTTCTCTATGCCTCCGAAATTCCCTTTGATAAATAAAGTTACAACATTGTTGAGAGCCATTGCAATTCGGGTGAAATTTTCACGTTTCCCTTTTTGGTTCCTTTGCGTGGTTCATCTAGCTAATGGCGTTCCATGGCACAGTTGACAGGCTGCAACAGTTTTTTTTATGGCTTTTTTCGGTTTCTGTTGGTTTTGTTGTTTTAGTCTGCCTCACTGTCAACAGAGCTGAACAATTTTTATTTATGCGCTTTTGTAGCGCCAAAATTCTTGACGGCAGCCGTCAGTCAACACGGTTAGATTGCCCGGCAGACGTGGCCAGGGACAGTTGTTGCTGTTGCTGGAGACGGGAGAGACAGACAGACAGACGGACAGAGAGACAGATAGACAGACAGAGTTAGCTAGCTGGCAATATGGCGGAGGCAGAGGCCGTTGCGGCAATGGCAAGCAAACAAACTGTAAACTGGGGAACGCCACTCAAAGTCGCGGGGCTTCCTGGCTGACACAGTTCGGGCGCCCAAGAAAGATGCATTGGCCAACACAGTTGGCTGACGAGAGCGTCTATCGGAAGCCTTTTGCTTGCCAACTCTAATTGAAGTCGATTGCATAGCTTGCAGCTTACTTTTTTTTTCTCTTGCTGCTGTTGTTGTTGTTGTTGTTATTTAATGCTGCAACTAACTTTGACATTATGCGCCACAAATTGTGGCAATTTAAGCCCAATTTAAGTCGCTGCAACAGCAAATATTTCACAGCTCTAGAAATGTGAGGCCAATGAAGCGAATCAGATCCGTTTTTCTGCACTCTCTCGCATCTTTCTCTCGCTAATCCTCACGTTTCAAGCGTGTCTGCCACATTCATTCGTCTAAAGGTAACAATTTATATAATGAAACTGATTTCAAATTTGTGATGTACGGGGCCGAGCCGAGCCGCGCCGGGCCGGGCCGGGCCGCAAGCGCGAGCTGAGCTTCGTAATTACCGGGCACAGCCTTAGCTTCAGTCTCAGTCGTAGCGTCAGCCTCAGTCTCAGCCCCAAACTTGGCCAAAACAACAGTTATAAAAGAGGCGTCCAGAAAAGTCAAAAAAGAAATATAAAAGACAACATGCCTGAATGATGCAGCGTGAACCACAACGAAACTTAAATACTCTGCTCATAATTGGCTTATAAATATTGGCTGTGAATGTAGATAAAGACCAAAAGTTAAATATTTCTATAAAAAATAAATAAAATGTATTAAAATTTAAAATCTTTAAAATTTCTTCAAATTTATTATGCCCTTGGTAGAATTAACAATTAAACATTGTAGTTCAACTGTAAGAATTTTGATGTTTATTTAATCTTTTTTCTTCGAGTTCTTTCAAACAACGAATTTGATTTATTTATTTTTCTTTTATTTTATTTTTTTGTTATGTTAAAAAGGAAATATATATGTATATTCTTTATTTGTCGCATATTATTATTATTTATTTTTAACAAAAATAATACTTGATTTAGTTAAATTAATAAAAGAATTGGAAATTTAAATTTGTACTCAAAAATAATAAAATTTAATTAAAATGATTTTTAATTCAATTTAATATATGCTTTATTTCCAAATTGTTACATGTTGCTAGAAACTAGCTTATTTTTCTTTATACAGAGTTTAGACTTATTTATGGTGAATATATATACATATGTATTTTTAGTTTGTGTTCTAAATTAAAATTCCCCGTTAAAAAAATATAACTACAGGTACATAAAAATATTTAAATTATTATAGGAAATTCATTGTAGCTTTTAATAAATAGTTCATTAATTAAAAATTTAATTTAATTTTATAATAGAATATTAAGAAAACCCATTATTATTATTAACCAGTATTTATATTTATATATATTTATATTTTTTGAAGTTGGCCAAAAATATATAATTTAGAAAACTTACATTTTTATAATTATATTTCATTTATATAAAATATATATTATTATTTTAAAAAATTTTGTTCCTAAATTATTAAGTTTATATATTACACATATTAAATATATAAATTTTACTTAAATTTTTACAATTTTGACAATATTATCTCTAGCCTCTCATATTATTTTGCTCTCGCTTTGATTTGTCATGCCCTCGTTAGGGTATTTGAAATTGAGTGAAGTGATCGAAACAAGTTTAAGAACTGCACGGACTGGTGGTGTCAGTGGTGCTGGTGCTGGTGCTGGCGGTGGTCACCTGTTTGGCCGGCTCGTTGGGATGCGTTATTTCGATGGACATGCCGAAATGTATTTGTGCCATTGGCAGCAGCAACAGCAGCAACAGCAGCCGAGGAAGAAGAAGAAGAACCGCAACATGATTTGGCAACTTGGCAACTTTCTTGCAGCAACGCGCTGCAACTTCGAGGGGGTTTAGAAAAAAAAACCCGTTGCTTAAAAAAGCAAAACCAAAGACAACATTAAAAAAAAAAATCATCTGTTGAATCGCGCATCTTCGGCCCAACCCACCTGACTGACTGGGCAAGTTTTCGTGTGGGAGTCGCTTGCCACATTTTGCGGTTACTTTGAAAAATCTTTGGAATTTATTTTGTTGTATTTTCGCCTTAATTCTTTCTTTTTGTTTGATAAAAAAGAAAGTTGACATAAATTGTAAGCCTGAAGTGTGCTTTTTTTGCTGTTGTTGCTTTTTTTTGCACTCGCCCAGTTGAAGTTGCGGTAGCAACAAAAGTTTGCCATTTTCTGTCTCTTTGTTGTTGTTGTTGCTGTTGTCTTGTGTCGTGTGCAGGAAGGAAATAGTTTTGGCTGAAGGCTGCTGCGGCCAGAGCTGGGGCAGACAACGAGGGGGAGAGAGAGTGGGAAAGATGCCAAAAGAGTTGTTAACTGGGAACAGTTTTTTTTCTCTGTTTGTTTTTTGGCAACTTATTGTGGGATTTCGGTGTCGAAATGAAATGCATTTGAAAGTTTCTGTGAAGCAAGTTAATCGCCTGTGAGTCTGTCCATCTGTCTATCTGTCTTTCGGGTTATGGCTAAACTCGTGGACAGCTTGAAATCAAAAGCAATTTGATGATTGAAATTGTATTTTGACTATGAAAAGCATTATTAGTAAATGGACTCACAAAAGACGTCTGCACAGCAGCTCCACTCGAGTCAATTAATAAAAACGGTTTTTTTTAGCATAAAAGAAATATTTTGCATGGCCGAAAGTAAATTTAAATTTAATATTTTATGTATTGTTATATATGTATAAAATAATATTCGCGAGACTTTCTAAAACTTGTCAAAAAATTTAATTATAACAAAATTTATTTGTATATTGTAAGCATTTTTAACTGCTGATATACATTGATTATTTTTGTTCATTTATTATTTATATATTTTTATTTATATATTTTTATTTATATATTTTTTATATATCTCTTAAGATTTTATATATAAATATTTTTTGTTTTTCAAATAACTATTTATTTTTGTTGTTAAATTATTTTCTTATTTATTAAATATATTTTATTTTATTAAAGATTGTAGTTTATAAACGTTTAATTTTTTGTATATTGAAATTTATTTAATTATTGTTATACACATTTGTATTCTTTTGTAATTATTTTAATTCCTTTAAATTAATTTAATTTATTAATTTATATTATTTGTTTTTTATTTGTTTCCTTTTACAGCACAAATTTCATTTCAATCAACTGAACTCAGCTGGGACATCAACCGCACAACCGAAGATCACAAAAGCTTAGCTCTGGCAACTACCAACCACGAAATTCACCAACGGGTATCTAGCGCATGCACAAACCTAAAAGATCAACAGCGCCGCATGCCTAAAGCTTAGCAGCTCAGCATGGCCTCCACAGCAACGACAATGTCGCAAAGCAAAGACACAAACCCAACAGCAGCAACGGACGATGATTACGTAACCGTTGTTGAAGTCGACGATCCCACATCGTCCACCAAAGACACAAACCATTTGAAGAAGCTAGTCAAACGGCAAAGTTCCGTCGCCGAAGACTCCTCATTTATTACCGTGCTGACGATCAACGAACAGCAACAGTTGCTGCAACAGCAACAGCAACAGCAACAACAACAGCAGCAACAGATTCAATCAGAAACAGATGAGGCGGAGCATGTAACCGTCTATCGTTTGCCAGGCGAACGCCTAGGCTTTGGCCTTAAATTTCAGGGCGGCACCCGCAACACGGAACTGGTGCAGAAGCTATTCATACAATCATGCGCCGCCGACAGTCCCGCCGCCAAGGTGGCCACCAGTTGGGGCCATTTGCGCGAGGGCGACGAAATCCAAAGCATCGATGGCCATCAGGTCTCGCAAATGACGCGCATCGAGTGCGTGCGCTGCCTCAAGGACAGCGTGGCCATACATCTGGTGGTGCGCAACGGCCACGGCCAGAAGCCGCCCAGCGAGGATGAGCATCAATCGGAGGTGTCCATTTCACTCAATGCCCAGCCACCGCCGCCGCCGCCAGTGCCGCCACGCAAGCTGGTGAAGCGACAGAACTCCAAGGAGGGGCCGGCCTCAGTGCAGCTTGTGGTGGAGAAGCCGCTGACACCGCCGCCGGATGCCGAGTACTACATCAATCTGTTTGCCGAGTCCCTGAAAGCGGGCTCTGAGTCCGATGACACGGCGAGCACCATATCCACCGTCATCGATAAGCTCTCCATGGGCTCCAATTACTCATCGGACACCGAGTTGACCAGCAGCCTGAACGGGCCCGAGCTGGCCAAGCTGGTGCAGCCGTTCACCCTGCTCGAGGAGGAGTTCCAGCTGGAGCAAACGTTGAGTCAGCCCAAGCTAATCATACCGGGCAATAATTACGAGAACATTGAATTCAAGACCGAGAAAGTCAATGACTACGAAAATGTGGAGCTGAAGAGTCCGCTGAGCACGCCAACGCCCAAGCCGCGCGTGCTGCTGGCCACTGTGGAGCCCAAGAAGCGCTCCATTATACCGATGCCGCGCAAGATCGCCACGCCCAGCAAGCTGCCCATCGAGGTGTCGCCGCCTCGTATACCCACAGACACGCCCACAACGCCCACCACTGAGCCGGTGAAGGAGATCAAGAAAGATCAAACGAAGATACCCAAGGCCAAGCTCGCGAGCTCCATAGTCAGTCCGGGCTTCTCGCGCGCCAAGACCGAGGGCGAGATCAAGCTGCATCTGCAGCCCGTTAAGCAACAGTCGCCGCAGCTCAAATCGCGCATACCCATTGTCACAACACCCGTGCAGAAATCCCCGCCAGCTAACAAATCGATGACAGCATCAATGGTCGCCCTGTCGCCGACGTCGCCTCTGGCTGTCAACTCCAACATTCCTCGCCTGCTGCAGAAGCAAAAGTCGGAAACAGACCTGAAGCTGGGCTTCTATCGCAGCAAGTCCAAGGACATGAGTCCCGGCCCAGGACATCTGCGTGCCCCGCTGCAGCGGGCCAACTCTGCAGAGGCGCCGGCACGCACCACACCTGAGCGCACGTTTATACCTGTTCTGCTCAACAGTGGCACGCGGAGCAGCTCTAACTCCACAGAGTCGCTGAGCTCGATCTGCAGCAATGGCAGCACTGGTCGCTCCCCGAAGGGACCCAAGCCGAAGCCTCCCGAGCGCGTTCAGTCGCTGCAGAAGACGCAAATCCCCAAGCTGCAGTCGCTGCCAACGACGCCGCCGCAGCAGCAGCCGAAGCTGAGCATGCAGACCTTCAGGCAGTCCACCAACGGCACACCGCCTGCCACGCCCATGAACACGCCGTCACCCACGAGCAATCGTGAGATACGCTTCAAGATCCAAACGTACGAGAGCAAGACTCAGGAAGAGGACAAGCTGCCCAGCCTGTTCGATCTGGTGCACAAGCAGGAGGCAGTCGAAAAGCCGGACACGTCGCCTAAGCCCCAGCGCGACATTGCAGCCCTTTTGGCAGCAGCAGCTGCCGAGGCGGCTGATCTGGCCAGAGAATCCCCGCCGCCGTTGGTCGTGGGCAAGTGCACAAAAATTGTGGACGACACTCAAAGCACAACATGCTATTCGAGCTCCAGCAGCGACGAGGATGAGGGCGACCAGGATGACGTGGATGCCGCTGAGCGCGAGTATATCTGTGAAGATGGCGAGAAACTGGGTCCCCCCGAATTGATCAATGGACCAGGACCCTCCGAGGCATACTTTAATATGTATTGGCATTCGAATATGTTGCCAACCATTGGAGAGGTGGAGGAAGAGTTCTCCTCCTTGGAGCCGCAATCCTTGACAAATGGGTGAGTTGTGGGCGGGCAGAGAGGGTGGGATGGGTGGTGAAGGGAGTGGGATAGGATATAGAGTGTCTGGAAGAGAAGTTCGTCAAGAGAATCCAGAGAGAGAGAGAGAAGGAGTGGGGGTAGAGTCTAGAGAAAATGTATGAAGTAAGAGTGCATCAAGAGAATCAACAGTGGATGGAAGAGTTAATTAGATAATGAAGGCATAAGTATAGACTCTAGAGAAAGTTTATGGAATTGGAGTGTTTCTAAAGAATCAAAAGAGAGAAAGCGAGAGAGAGACTGGTTTGGTATTAATGGGATTGCAGTAAAGTCTAGAGAAGGTATATGAAGTGAAAGTGTATCAAGAGAATCAAAAGGGGGTGTTAATTGGAGATAGAAAGGTATTAGAATAGCCTTTAGAGAATGAATATGGAATTTGAGCGTATCTAAATAATCAAGAAGGAGAGAGAGAAAGACAGAATGAGGATGGTTAAATCGTGATCGGATTGAAATAGAGTCTAGAGAAACGGTATGAAGTGAGAGTGTGAGAATGAAAAGAGGGTGCAATCGCTGATTGGAGAGTGAGAGAAGGTGTATGGAATTGGAGCGTTTCTCTATAAGAAAGAGAGAGAGAGACTCTAATGATACCCCTCCCAGAAAGATAGACAAAGAGACAAAAGAGAGAGAGAAAGAGAGAGTGGTTTAGAGGTGGTCTACAGAAGAAATGAAATATAATAACTGAGAGTTAAAGGAGATGTCTCTTAAGACAGAAAATATATCAAATGCAGCTCAATAGATCTCAAACAACATATTTGGAATTAGAATAGGAATTTATGTAAAGTTTTGTCGACTACTGTACTCATTAATCCATTCAGCTGGCAAAGAAAAGGGAAAGCGTGTGCATACTCTATCATTATCACAAACATGCCAGAAAAGTAGATAACCCCCATTTTAGGCATAGAGTATTTGATATTTGTCATTGCATAAAACAATGAAAGTTATTGTAGACGCCATTCGTAGGCGTAATATCTTGCGCAATTCGGCAAAGGCTAGTCATAGTATTTGCCTAGATAAGCTCTTCCAGTTGGCAAAAACGAACTGCAAAAATTTGGAAATGTGTAAATATTTGCGATAAGTGTTGAATAATAATAATAGAGGGAACTTTCACACAGCGCACCGCGAGCTAGGGCTCGTTTATGGCACTGATAAGAGCAAATGCCGGTGTGTTTACAACGGCAAAGAGCTCAGAGCAGAGAGCGTAGAGCGCAAAGCGCAAAGCGCAGTGATAAAGGCCTGGAAATTCGTCTACGCAACTGATAAAAGCTAATGGCAAATGGCATTCGACTCGTCGTTCGAGTCAATCAGTTCTATTTCGAAAGGCGAAAGGCATAGATTTTCGGGGCACCCAGTGCGAACGCGCATTTTTCTCCATTAAGTATTTTGCGCAGCGATCGAAGCGACGGCAAATTTCCGTTTGCTGTTTCCGACAGGTGCGAGGCGGTTCAATTAACATGCATACATAGTATATAAATATCGATATTGTTTTTTGTTTGATAAGAGACAAACAATCATTCTAATTACTCCATGTGTTGTACACTCGTCTAACCAAACAGCCATCCGAGTGCGATTGCCGAGGAGCTAAAGAAGTTGCCGCATTACGTAGCGCCAGCAAAGGCAACAGCCAAAATGGAGGCCCCAGTGGAGCAGACGCCAGCGGAGCTGGGTCAAGTCCAGCACAATGATAAGATTGCTGTGCACGAGAAAGCAGCTGACGATAAGGCCACCGAGCAGTGTGTGGAAAGTAGCACCGCTAGCACCGCCAAGAGCACCACCAGCAGCACGGAGGAAACCAGCGAAAGCCTTAGCAGCAGCAGCAGCAGCAGCACCAGCAGCCAGAAGAGCAAGACCCAACGCACAATAACCACCAAAGTGGTAACCACCAAGAAGACGAGCAGCACCACTAGCAGCAGCTCCGCCAATGTCTTTACGAGTCCTCTGGCGGACATTTCCTTCAAGCTGCAGCCGTATGAGGAGCGGGAGGAGACGCAGCCGGCTATAACGACAGTCATACACGAAGAGCGTCGCGTGGTTAGCGAGCAGCAAACGCTGAGCGAGCTGAGGACCAAGGATGCGCTGACTGGTGAGGAGCAGCTGTTGACCAGCGCCGAGTCGAAATCGAGTAGTGCGCGCTTCAAGAAAATCAGCAGCAACGAGAATCTGCTCGACCTGGCCGATGTCGAGCAGCTGCAGCCGTTGACTGCCACCGTCTCGGCGGAGACGTGTCTAAAGGAGCGCCTGGACAATCCACAGGATAAACAGAGTATTGAAACGGGTATTTTGACCTTATCCGAATGTGGCAAGCAGCTGCAGCTGTCCGAGAACGGCGGCCTCAGCAGCTACATCGAGTGCGAGCAGACCGAGCAGCAGAGCTACCTGGAGGGCCAGCAGCTGCTGAACGATCTGCCCGTCGACACGGAGGCGCAGCCGACGCTCGAGCGCGAGTTCAGCGAGACGCTCACGGTCAGCAAGGATGGCGAGAAGCAGGTGACCAAGCGGCTGGAGCAAAGCAAAGACACGCCCAGCAAGAAGGGCGCCAAGCTGCTGAAGAAGACGGACGAAGAGCGCCGCCTGGAGCAGGAGGCACAGAAGATCATTGAGAGCTATCAGAAAGTCAAGAAGGAGACGGAGAAACTGTACAATCTGCAGTTGGCGGATGATGAGCAGGGCTTTGACCTGAGCGCCTTTGAGCAGGTGGAGCCACAGGCCGAGCCCAGGGCTGAGCAGCCAGTGGAGAGGGTCGAGCAGCAGCTAGAGGTGCAGGCGGCAGAGTCAGTGAAACCCCAGGCAGAGCTGTTGATGGAGTTTGCACTGAAGCAGGAGACTAAGGCACCAGTGGAGCAGCTGGTTGAGCAGCAAATCGATGCACCAGCTGCCGAGCTGCGGGTTGAAATCCCACTTGTTAAGGAGATCAAGACTCCAGTGGAGCAACAAGTCAAGAGTCCTGACCAGCAGTTGGTCGAGATTCCTGTCGAGCAGCAGATCGCAGCTGAGAGACCAAGCAAAGCTCCTGTCGAACAACCAGCCAAGGCAACAGTTGAAGTCGAGACTCCCATTGAGCAATCAGCCAAGACTACAGTCGAGCTACAAGTCAAGATTCCCATCGAGCCACAAGTCAAGTCTACCGACGAGCAGCCGAAGCTAAGCGAAACCATAAAGCAACCAACCGCCATTGAGGATGATCTGGGTTATGTGCTGCACAAGAACATCATCGATGCACCAGCACCAAAGCCAGCAGCACTGCCCAAAGCAGCAACGCCTAAGGTGGCGCCCAAGCCAGTGGCAGTGCCAGTGGCCAAGCCGAAGCCGCCAGTGCCCAGCAGCAAGCCCAAGATGACGCCGGCTGTGGTGAAGCCGAAGACGGCGCCACCGCCAGTGCCCAGCAAGCGGAGTGAAGTGGGTTTGAGTGGCAAGCCAAAGCCGACACAGCGACGCAGCAGCCTCGAGCCGCCGCCCAAGCCGCTCGAGCGCATCATTGTGGGCGTGGAGCAGGCCAAGCAGAGCAGCCCAATTATCAATTTGGCCAGCGTGGATTTGCCCAATGAGCCGCCCAAGGCTGTCAATGAGAATCTGGTCGCCCAAGCCGTTGACCTGCTGCACGATGATCTGCACTTTGAGAGCCATCAGCTGCCGAATGCAGAGAAGCAGCGCGAGGTTGTGGGCCAGAGTGGGGAGTCCCTGACCGAACCCACTGGCAATGTGCTCAGTGCCAGCTCATCGATGACATCAACAGCATCGTCGTCGTCGTCGTCGGTTGCTACGCCCATAACAACGCCAATTTTGGTATCGGCGACGTCATCGCTAGATTCGGTCAAAAGTGTCATCGAGGTCATCAATGGGCATGCCAGCGACAGGGACGAGCACAGCGAGAGCAGCGACAATAGACCAAACGGAGACAACGCACAGCATGTGGAGCACGATGTGTCAACAACGTTGACGCTCGACAGTGAACACGAAACAGGTGAGTGCTTAGGTTAAGTGCCAGAGGCATTAGGGCGGCAGTTAGCCAAATGGAGAGCCAAATCTCTGTTGGTAGCTGTTGTGCGTGTGTGTGTGTGACACTGATTTGGTGAATGTGAAAGAGTCGATTCGAATGGAAGCCTAGTTGAAAGTGTTAGAGAGTGCTGAATACTGTTTTTTTTTCTGATTACATTCCGTTTGTAAAGCTGGAAAAACTTAGTTTAAGTCATTTAAAATGAAATTAGTGAGAGTAAAAGTTGGCTTCTAGAAATGCATTTGCTTACTCTTTATGTGTTTATCATGTGTTATTGTTGATAAGAGCTCAAGTTTGCCAACTTAATAAGAGTAGACGTATATATATATATATATTTCAGATTAGCATTCACTTTCGACTCTGTTTAGCCATATCTGTCTATTTAAGTACATCACTGTATATATGTATATATATTCCTAATCATGAACAACTGTTTCTTCTAGTGTAAACTCTGTTTGTTTCCATGCAGCGGATTCAATTCTAATTATTCTTCTACTTTACCTTAAGATCAATTGAACTATAAAACCCATTGGCTCATAAGTCTTAATAGACTGTTTCTTCTAGAGCCGGAGGAGTCAATTTTTATTCTTCTCCTACTTTACCTTAAGATCAATTGAACTATAAAGCCCATTGGGTCATAAGACTTAATAGTTCGTATGTTTCATTGAGCCTTTAAGCCTATTTTGCCAATGGACCTCATTGTGCCATAAGACATCTTCTACTTTAAATTTAGTTTCCCGAGTAAAAAGTATGATATTTTGATTGCTTGATTTGGAGATGATTGATGCGAAAGAGAGAAACTTTTCCTTATGTACATTAAATACCATTTTATATATGATAAATTCTGTCGAAATATCTGCCTAATATTTTGTAGTCACAGAATAAGAATTAGAATGCATCTAGCTCTCATTCTGACTTTATATATAATTCCCATATTAGTACCGAAGCTAGAAAGCTAAAGGACTTTGAATTTAATAGCATAAACTCATCCCTCAACTAACAAATATTGAGTATATATATTTCCCTTGAGCTTAAACTCTTTTCCATTCAAACTGTTTTCCTTTCGAGTATCCCATCTTTAACCTCTTGGTTGATATCCACAGCAATCTATGATTTTGCAATTATTGTTCAATTTCCCAAACACTTCAGGCTTGAGCTTGCTCCACATATCCGCTGCATTGCCAGGCAAATCTAGCCAGAGGCTGAGGCTGAGCTCTGTTGTTTGCCTGGCAGTGTTCTATTAGCATTTAGTAGCGGTCACTGCGGCTGGCAGCATCACCATGATAACTGTTTTGGACAGTTGGGATAGTTTGCCTAGTCTGGCTGATTTTTGACAACTCTCGACAGTCCGTTAGCAGTAGAAGGCATCCAATTATTGGTCGCACACTGCACACATACATACATATACAGTCTGTCTCTCTCTCTCTCTCTCTCTCTCATTTGGCCAAGCCACAATTTGAAATTGCAGGCTCGCAAAATTTCACTGCCCTAGTCCAACGCCCAGTTGGGCTGTGTTTGCCCTGGGCATATGCGAAATGCCACTAATGGACTTTGTGGACTTATGGCCTGCAGCTGCAAATGAAACCGAAATGGCCAAGTGCAGTTCGATACGAAAATGCAAATATTCATAAAGTTTTCCTATATAAGAGATCGCATTATATTTGTGAAAAACATTTATTTATAACGCTCTTCGTTTTTTGCCTCTGATATCGTTAGTATTCTCAATTGCAAATCGTTATATGAATTTTCCATTTACACAATCGACAAACAATTCTCTTGAATTATAATTATGAAAAAAAAAAAACATATATAAAAAAAAATATATATATATTATACATGCAAAATTTATGAAAAACATATATGCGAATTATTTTCATTTAGCCGCGCACAGCGCCAAATAATATAAATAAAATGTGGAACAATTGCCACGCAGCGAAATGCGAAATTGTAAAAGGCACCGAAATAGCCAAAAATTGCATATAAAACCATATTGCGTATACGCCAGGTGCATAAAACCAAATATCACGTATACGTTGCACACATTTACATGTGCATATACGTAATTGTTGGGCTTAAATATTTTATGTGCATTGGATTTGCATTTGTTTAACCGAAGCAACAACAACAAAATAAGAAAAAAATTGTGCGAAACCCAAAATCGAATCCAATGAGCTGCAGAGAGGGCAAATAAAATATTGGTGCAATGTTTTAATTAAACAAAAACTGACAAATATTGGCACCTGTATTGGCATTGCGCACAGGTGCGAGCGGGGCATGCGGCACCAACAAGAATTTGCATACCAAAATACGCTACGAAATGCAGATTGCTTTCATGTGCTGTGGTTCGGTGTTTCGAGGGCTTTTTCGGCCATATCCTTCTGGCCAGAAATATTAATCAAAAATATTTGCAGCCAAACGAATTGAATTTGCATATTATACAGTGGGCTGGGCGTGCAAGAGCATGAGCATAAGAACCCATGTGAATATCTATATAATTTTATTATCTAATCAATAATTGAAATTTTGTTTGATGTGAAAATAATTTTGTTGTTCAATGTTTTTATTGCAACATCGATATAGGTAATGTTACCACTGTTGTGTTAGGCTTTTACTGTTTTCGGTTTTTTGTTTCCAGAGGTATTTATGGTACATTGCTTGTAGTGTTATAAATTTCGGGATTGCGTCAGGCTGACTGCTCAAACTCAACAAATTATCAATTTTCGGATAAGCTTTCAGTGGGCCACAGTTGTGGAGCTGTGTGGGAAAGATATTTAATTTTTGTATATTTTTAATGTTGACTAAAATTCGCATTTTCGTTCAATTTTTCTCTATAAAATATATTAGAGAATTTGTGGAGGTATTTATAATTCATAGATGACTTTATAAATCCAATGCAAATGGATTAATATTCTTAATCAGGGCGACGAGCTAAGTTATTTTGCTATAATTTTTTATTATCGCTAATGATCGATAATTTACTTACATATTTATGTATACTTACATAGCCACATATACTTTAAATTTTTTTTTATCGCCGTTCTAATTTTTGATTTTCAATAATTGGCAATTTCTAAATATTATGCTATTATAATATATACACAAATATTTTTTTTTTATTTTTATTATATTTAATATATATACATATATATAAATATATATTTTTTTATTGTATTAAATATTTAAATATTTATATACATTTTTTTTTTATCACAGTAATTTTTTTTTATAATTTGAGTTAAAAAAAATATTTTTCTTTATATATATATATTTTTTTTTATATATTTACATATGTTATTTTTCTTTATTTATCTCTATATCTCCATCGAAATTTCTCTTTACATATCAAGCAATCATATATCACTTAAATTCGCGTATCTTCAAGTGTGCTCAATTAATTATGTATTTTTAATTAAGAGCGAATAATTATTGCATTCCACCTGTATTTATGGCAACATGGCATTTCTCTCGTCCAATAAAAAGAAATATTTGTATGCCCCATTGAATTTCATAATTACAAGCCTTTGTGTCTGCCTGTCTCTCTCTCTCTTTCTCTGTGTGTCTCTGTCTTTATATCTTTCATGGTAATTACTTTTATTTTATGGTCGAAATGCATTGATAGCTCTCTTTTTCATATCAAGTGATATCTATCACTGACAACAAATATTTGTGCCCATATGGCGATAAGCCCTTATCAATATTGATTACCGATGTTATTTGTGCTTGGGTCTGCACAGAATGCTAATCTGCTAACAGTTGGCATTGAGCGAAGTAATCCAGCTCAATCTATTCCCTGGCTGTTCACTATCCAGCCACCTTTGCCCTTTCAGCTGTGGCGCTGACAACGTCAACGTCGCCAGCTTCTGTGCTCAGTTTTCTGTTTTCAGTGCTCAACACTTTGAAATTGGATTTGAAGCCATAATGACCAGCTGACTGACTGACTGACTGACTGACTGACTCGCACTGCCGTTCCATATCTAAAAGCAGCTGAAACCATTCGCCATAATTGCTTTTGGGCACATGGCGCCCACTGAGGCGCCACGTTTGGCCCCGGCCACTGGGCTAATGAAAATGCATTTGGGGTAGCCGAGCCTGGGCACCGAAGTGCACTCGAGTCCTGCTCTGCCCCTCTGGTGGAGGACAAATTACTGCTGGGTCTCTGCACTATGCCATATGTAGAGCTCAGCTAGGTAATGCATTTTTGATAACTAATTTAATAGTATAACAATTTAGCAATAATATACATATATACGTTACTTTATTGTTTACTATTTGCGTAAGACTCTAATTATTATTTGCTTTCCCGTTGCATACCTTGAAGAGCTTTTAATATTTAAGAAAGCCAAGCAAACTTGTAGAAAGTTAGTTGATTTTCAACTTGCCAAAAGTATGCCACGAAAAATGTTTAGTACAAGAATAGAATAAATGCTAGAAGCTAAACTAGTTTATTGAATATATAAAAAGGTTATTTCATTGAATATATATTCTATAATTCATTTTCGTATGTATTAAAAAAAATCTTTAGATATATAGAAAATTATGGTAATTAGATATTCGTTCAATTAAATTAAAAAGTCAAAGCAATTGAAATGATGCAGTGGCATTCAATCAAATAAATTACAAAATTAAATAAGAAATTTGATCTTCCAAAAAGAAACATTTTTTGATAAATTGAATCTAAAAAAATTAAAAAAAAAAATTACGGGTTTTTTTTTTAAAACTTATTTTAGATTCAAATTATACAGTGGAATTCAATAAAATAAACTACAAAATATAATAAGAAATGTAATCTTCCAAAAGGAAGTACTTTTATAATAAGTTTTAAATTAAAATCATAATATCTTCTAAAAATTTTGCATTCAATGTTTAATAAATAATAAATAATGATTTTACAATCATATCAATCATATAAAAGAAGTAAATCAAATAAGTAGGTTTTATATGTATGTATAGTCAATGGCCAGCAGCAA